GGGGGAGAAGGAGGGGGAGGGGATTCGGGATGGGGTTGCATCTCACAGCCCCTTGCTCCATAGGCGAGGCGGGAACCGGGCAGTGGGACCAGTGTGGGGGCGAGGCCGAGGCGAAGGGGCGGGCGGGCGAGGCGGAGGCCCACGAAATTCAAAGCGGACCGACGGTTGGGAGGGGGGCTGGGCGTAGGCGCACATCGAAAAAGTGAAGCGGGCCAAAGCGTGGCAGGCGCGTAAGCGACGGTTGGGAGGCGAGGCCAACGCGCGCAGCGTTGGGAGGAAGGGGCGGGGGCACGTCGACGCGCGGAGCGAGACCAACCGCCATGCGGGAATCCAAGGCCGACGGGGGCGGGGGGCAGGCCTATGCGCGGAGCGAAGTATCCGGTAGGTAGGGGGAAGACCAACCGCTGTGGGGGAATCCAAGGCCGACGGGGTGCCGTTGTAGAAGGTGGGGGCGAATGGGAGGCGGGTGCGGACGATCTCCGTGGGCGGGACGTGGGACACAATGGATGCGTGTTGATCCGTGGCTATGGCGAACGTACGGAGGAGCGGGGCGAAGAGGTAGGCGCACATCGAAAAAGTGAAGCGGGCCAAAGCACGGCACGCGCGTGTGTGCTCTACGTGCATGATCAGTGCTTTTTTTTTTTTTTTTTTTTTTGGAACCAAACATTTCGCACTCCCCCTTCCTCCCGTCCCGTCTTCCTTTTACTGCTTTGCCATCTTCTCCTCCTCCTCTTCTCCCCTCGCCATACCCCTGCCTCTGCCTTTGGTCCCCCTCACTGCCGCAGCGTAGCTGCGGCGGGTCCACTTGTTWCGAATGAACTAAGGACTTGTTACGAATAAACTAAGGAAAAGAGATGTTACGAATGAACTAAGGACTTGTTACGAATAAACTAAGGAAAAGAGAGATAAGCTGCTGATTGGATCCTGTTCTGCCTAATTGCAGCTGGGCACCCACATTGGACCATTCTGAAGCTCTCTGAGTGTTTCCCCTGATAGCAGACAGCCGTTCACTAAGTGGTTCCCAGGGGGTCTAGCGTAGCCCTGAGATCTGGTTGTCCCTTCTGAGAGGAGCCCCTTGTTCCCTAGGGGGAAGCTGAA